TTTGTCTCTATAAAGGTGGCAGTGGACCCCATCCGCAGATAAAAAGTTGGGATAAGCTTGCCTCCACTTGGCTATATTCTATAAGGGAGTTAGTACCTGAAAGAGTTAGCTGACATCATTAGCTTTTGCCTTCTTGATCTTTTTTCCAAATCCATGTAAACTACATCAACTTCACTATCCTCATTTACACATGGTCACATCCTTGAAAAATTCAATCAAGTTTGTTAGGCATGATGAAGCCATGCAGACTGTCCCTGATCAAACCTTGCTTCTCAAGTGGAGATTAATTCTCTCCTTCAGAATTTTCTCCAATATCTTCTTGTCACTGATGTGAGCCTTGTGCTCTGTAAAATCAAAATATAGGAAAGCTTCCCAATGAGGTAGTGTGGGTAGTGTTATATTTGCACAGTTAGAAATTTTGATGTTTGTTTCTGTGTGCAAAATCTGTTTTAATATAGCACTGTTTATTCAAGGTAATTTGTTATTTCGAAAGAAATAATTCAAACCAAGTAGTTCAAGCCATCATATCTCTTAAATCTTCCACTAAAGTTTGAATAATGCAGCATAGGAAGTATGTTGAATAACTTGAATGCAGATTTATAGACAAGATAAGCAGCTTCGAAAAGATGGCTACACTGTTTGTATGATGGCATAGTTGATACATCTAGAATTAAAGTGATTTTGAGTATAAGATGCTTTGTCCATCTTTGAGTTTATTCAGGAAAAGCTCTGCCTAATCACAAAATCTGTTTCCTACACCAGATTTATTAATTGATTGGATAGTCAAATTTGGATGTTAATCACTAGTTGTGTGTGGAATTGCCTGCCATCAGTCTTTCACCAGTTAAAACATTATGCAATACCATATTTAATTCAAGCTAACAAACCAAATATTTTTATATCCATAGTTTGATCCTCCATAGGAATTAATCTTATATATTATTCTTGTTGTCTCCAGGTCCTGCGTACGTGATTTGAAACCTTGTTTAACAAAAGTGGATATGTGCTTAAGAAGTTATCTGACCAAAATAGAGCACCAGACACGAAAACACTGTATGGTTTCATTCTGACACCCTAAATTTATATTATACTGACGGATGGTACAATGCAGCATTCTATTGGCTTTGATGATTTGTTTGCTTTGAGTGATGTAACTTGAGAAGAAACAACACTGATCTAATGATATTCAACATTCGAAGGAAAAGTCTGATTAATATTTTGTTTTAACAGACTGAAAATGTGTTAGGTTAGGCAGTACATGCTTGTATTGTGTAACTATGTAAATAAATGCTGATAGAAGTGTGTAAAGATTGGCTCCAATTCTATCCTTTATCAACTGGTTTCTGAAGACTGATTGAAGCAGCAGCACAATTGGCACATTCTTTGTCCTCTGGTTTGTTGGATCTGCAACATTGTTATAGAGCACTGGTTTACCCATCTCTCTGGAGAGCTTTCCAGGCTGATGTCAAGACCTCTGTCGCCTGGCATGTTCAGAGCGGCAACATGACAGACGATGCATGCTCGCTTCTTTTTTATTAAATGAAAGGGACCAGCCAGCTTTGTCATCAGTACAGTTGTAGGGTTATAGAGATTGCGAAGGGAGAGACCGTGGGACTAGGACTGGTGCAAGAAAGAGATCACAGGACCTCAGTCGACAATAAAAGTTAAGTCACATGACATGTTTGGGAGTTAGATGTCTGGTAGCAGGGAAAAGAGGCTCTGTCCCAATAACAGGCACTGTGCTGTTCAGGCCAAAAGAGTGCTGGGAGACAATGTGCGTAGCCAAAAGCTGGGGTTAGGGCTCTGGAAAAGTCCTGGAAACCACCGAGAGAAGTGGGGCTTGGAAAATATCCTGGGAAGCATTAATAATTCAGTGCAGCTGAGCGTGGGGCAGAAGGAAGCTTACAAACAGTGTTTGTTTTGTGTAGCTGATAAATATTGGAGTTGCAAATACAGAAGGGCAGTGCCAGCTTAGCGAAAGTAGCTACCTGCAAAAGAGCTGGAATTGTGCCCATTTGAAGGTGCTAGAGTGCAACCTTAAGAATCCAGTGGAACGCTATCCCGGGAAAGAGATTACATTACTGGGATGTGAGCAGTCATTGAGGCAGTCATGATGGAATGGTTTCTGAGGGAATTTCAAAGCCAGATCTCTAGAAATGAAGAATTGGATCCCTTGTAAGGGAAAGAAAGTTTCAATGAGAGTTAGTGGTTGACAGCATTAGTGATCTGAGGTGCTTCTGAAAAATCCATGTGATCAACTTGACCACACTTGCAATTTGATGTGTCCTGAAGAATGTTTGATTATACTGCTACTCATTTTTACATCATGTTAATTCCGGATGTTAAGTATAAATTGTGTTGTAGATTGTTTTGAAGTTCTAACTTTGTATTGTAAACTTTATTTTGTTTGTTCAAAACCTTAGAATTTTGTGGCTTTAATCTTTTCCCGAGTACATTGGATCTCACACTTTGTCACTTCAAACAAAAAAGTTACCGGTCCTTAGCCAGACTGTAACATAAATTTGGTACTTTTATCAGAGATCATAACAACATGAGAACGTTAGATGAGGACAGCTGGAATACCCAAATCTATAGTCGAAGAGCTTTTCAAGTCTCGTGGTTCAGATATAAATGCAAGAGAGACTAGAAGATAATCATCACCTGTGAAACTGTCCTCTAGTTACTAGTTAATATCTTTAGGAGGGGAGTAGAAATAATTGATGAGAAACATATCTCTCCAATAATGAGCATGGATGAGACAATTTCCACAATTCTGCATATCAAGATACAATTCCTCTGAATGATGTGCTTATTAAAAGCTGATTTGCATTTTTAAATATTATTTTCTCAATGGCAGCAAATTTTCCACCAAATAGAAATGTAAAATCAATGCAGAAGACTGTTAGAATATGTTTACCAATATCTGAGTCTCTGGTATCATTGAGAAATTTGTGTTTTCTACTTGCTGTAAAATAACTGCTGTTCAAATTCAACGGTGAACGAACTGGAAACTTTATGGCCAGTGACTTTCATAAATATAGAATCATTCTCTTCTTCTGTTCATTAAAGCTTGAAATAGGAGAACTGGCAACAACAGCGGAAAACGTAGTTATTGTATTGATATCTGATTAAAAATTATTTGCATTATCGTTAATACCACAATACCAGTTCTATCTGTCCATTAACTTACTGACTCAATCATGATGTTGATTTAAAGTAATAATGGCAACCTTTCTCTTGGTAGTTAATGGTGCCATTTAGTTATTTAATAGCTCAACAATGGGAAAAAAAGGTTTGACTCCAAGGATGAACATCTACAATAAACTAGCAAAGTAGACCCGTTTTATTCTAATGACTCCTCATTCCTTATCTCCGAAGCAAGTGAACATTGAACATTTAGATTTTTGAACCAGCCTTTAAGTTTTTATTTTGGTGTGACTGCTGAGTAAATTTTCTATTTCAGTCATTATCAATTTTGGCAGTTCTTATTGATTTGGTATTAGAAATGTAGGTGACATTTAGAGAGAATTCAGACAATTCTTTTTTATAAATTCCAGAAACCTTTGTGAAATTATGAGAGTGCTGTAGATATGTAATTTCACTGTTAGTACAGGGTGTCTCCAAGGCTAGGAAAGTAGAAGAAAAGAACAGAAAAGCAGGGATGGATGACTGAAGTCTTTAAAAATGGAATGTACAGGAGTAGTTGTAGCTATTGATAAAGGTTTTGAGTCAACTTAGCATTTTTAAGATGTTTGCTAAATCCAAGCACATGAATCATGTTGTAGTTCACAAGACATATTGAAATATCTCGGGAGAAAAGAGCTTACTTACTTGTGAGAACATCAGAAAGGTGGGGAAAGATACAACCTGCAGGTTTTGGAATCCTGTTGGTATGGCCAAAGATTGGAAGAAGTCCACTCTGTGTAAGGAACAATCACCTGCCTGCAAATATCCCTGAACTGGCAAATTAATAATTATGGGTAGGTTTGAAATTCAATTAAGGATGAGGGATGGGCTCTTGAAGCCAAAGGGTCGTTATGAGCTTCACTAGCTCGGAAGAAGCAGGAGGTTGCCTTTACAGATAAGTAAATAGAGACACAGTCTCTCCAGTTTTTCATAAATTTAAATTAAAGAAAAGAGGCTACAATTGTGGAAGGAAGCCCAGGGCAGGCCCATTGCTGTAGGTGAAACCAGGCAGATAGGGAATCTTCTGAAGAAGGGTCTAGGCCCGAAACATCAGCCTTCCTGCTCCTCTGATGCTGCTTGGCCTGCTGTGTTCATCCAGCTCTACACCTTGTTATCTCAGATAGGGAAGGGCACCTGGATGGCTGATCCCCTGGTCTACTACTTGGAGTGGAGACAGTTTCAGACAGTTATGCTCCCTCATGCGTCTGAGGGCCTGAATTTCAAAAGTCCGCCGCTGACAATAAGTCTTAACAGACCTTTGAATTGGCTATCGCTGTTTATGGGCAAATGGCTCCACTGACACTCCCATTCCACCTTTGGCAAAATGGTCCAGGTGCAGATGGAACCAGGGAGGTGGAAACTGACTGACACGTTAAACTCTGCCTACATTCGTATCTATCAAGGCCAAAAAAATCCAGCCGGTAATCAATGTCAATGAAGGATAAAAGGAAACTGAAGATTGGAGATAGGGAATAATTGAAACCATAAAAATATTGGAAGATTCAAAAAGGAGATTAAAACTCATTTGATTGATTGAGATATTAGCCATGATATATGGAAAGAAAATGAAAAAAGTAAAAACAAATGCTTAAAAATATTATAGTAATATTACGACCATGTGATGATTTTACAGGTTGGTTCCACACCAGTATTTTCATATAAAAGATCATTTAAAACACTATCAATCATGCTGAGTGACTAGAATCACTTAAATTGAACTTTTTAACATGGGTACAACAAAACACTTTACAAGTTAAGATGTGACACTCAGCATTAGTATTGAACCATATTGCAGCCTGTAGTGAAAAGCCTACCTCCCAGTCAAGGACTGAAGCTTGCCATTGAGCCATCTTGTCAATATTTTCCAATCTCCTTTTGCGTTCATTGATTTGTTGTGTCACGTTCCTCATGACTGCCAAAGCAGCAGCAACGTATCTATAGTCACTGGAAGAGAATTTTTAAAAAAAAGTTTTGATATCTCTTTCTGAAGTTATTTAGCAAAACAATCAATGAGGAGTTGAGTGGAAGTTTTCTATGGAACAAGGTGTGATCTGGATTTCACAACTTGAAAGGATGATGGAAGAAGATTGAAGAGAAACTTTCAAAACGCAATTCGCTAAGTCCTTAAAAAAAAAAATGTACAGTTATGGCAAAATAGAGAAGTGGGATGAGACCAAATGGAGAGTTCTTTGAAAGAGCTAGGACCAGCACAACGTGCAGCAGAGCATCTGATATATTATTATAGTTACATTTAACTGCCAGGAAGGCAGCGGCGTCGTGATAATCTGACTGAACTAGTAATTCAGAAATCTGAGCTTTTTATCTTGGGACATGGATTCAGGGCAATTGGCGGCATTTAAAGTCAACTAATGGACAAAAAAAAATCTGGAATCAACAGCTATTTTGTTGGTAACCATAAAACCATATGGTTCACTCACGTTTTTGGGAAGGAAAAAGTGCCATCTCATCTTGCCTGGACTGAATTTGACTGCAGACCCACAGTCATTGACTCTTAAAGTGTCCTCTGAAATGGCCGAGCAAGCCACTCAATTATATTAAAAGTCACAAAGGAATGAAACCAAACAGATCACTCATGATCGAACCAGGGAACAGAAACAATAATGACAAACTCAGCCCTGCCAATTCTCCAAAGGACTCTACTAAAAATATGGGAGCTTGTACCAAAATTGGGAGAGCTGTCCTCCCAGACTAGTTGAGCAACAGCGTGACATAGTCATATTCATGGAATTATTAACAATATCGTACTCTTGCGTATGATTTGTCCCACCAGTAGGACAGACTGACCAGTAGTGGAGCACAGTGTACAGTCAGGAGGAGTTTGCCCTGAGAGTCCTCAACAATCTTGGGTAAGAATATCCCCTGCTGACTACAACCTAGATACAGCCTCTGATCTAATTTATCAGTGTTCCTGCAGGTTGGACTCCAACTGGAGGCAGTATTGATGATGGCAATGGCACAGAATTTACTTCAGTTCAGGGATTTCAGTTTCCATCATAAACAGTGACTTGGTAACATCATTTGTGACTGAACCGGCAGAATCCTAAAGGACATAGCTGCTGGACTGGGTCTGTAGCAGGTGATGAGGAAGCCAACAAGAGGGAAAAATCTATCTGATCTCTTCCTCACCAATCAATTTGTTGTAGATGCATCTATCACAGGATGGTAAGAGTGACTAATACTCGTTGTGGAGACTAAGTCCCATCTTCACACTGTAGATAGTAACCAACATATTGTGTGGCATTAACACTATGTGAGATGGGATAGATTTTGAACATATCTAGTAATCAAAAGCTGGGCACCAACAATGTGCTGTGGGCTATCAGCAGCAACAAAGTTGTATTTAAGTATAACCTGTAGCCACATGGCCTGGCTTTTCCCCCAATCTACCATTATCATGAAGCCAGAGGATCAGTTCTAGAGCACATAGATCCCTCTTCACCTCAGAATTCTTCCATGGGTTGGAAAGAGGTCTGTTAGTGCATGAGCAATGCAGGTGTGGGGCACAGACAAGGCACTCTGGCCTTTGTGATGGTTGAGGTCAGGAGAAAACAGTCTAACTGTGTGTGCGTGTGTGTGAGAGAGAGAGTGTACCTGGGGCCATATAAATGAACAGGTGCCTCCAAACGGGGCTGTTATTGGAGTCCCAGAGTATGGAGTTTTTATCAGGTAAGAGTAGATCTATTCTCAGCGCTTTTCTTTTGGATAATCTGGCTGCCCATTTGGAAAGTTGAGGTACCCCTACAGATGTGGTCCCACAATGCTTTGATGGTGTAACTCAGGGATTTTTTTGGAGGGGTCAGGTATCCAGTAAAGCTGTTATCTGTGAAAAAGATTTTGTGTAAATGGTGCATAAACTTCTTGGAATTGTGCAACCTGTCAACATGTATTGACCTGTCAAGAAGCTGTCAACACCTTTCAAGAGGTTTGTGCAAGTGCATTTATGGATAAGTGTTTTCCTAAATAGAATCAGTGGGGAAGAAGGCCATTCAGCCCATCGAGTTCACACTGGCTCTCCGAACATCATCCTGCCCAGTCCAGGTAACCCTGCATTCCCCATGGCTAATCCACCTAACTTGCACGTCTTTGGACTGTGGGAGGAAACCAGAGCATCCAGAGGGGACCCACACAGATATGGGGAGTGCGTGCAAACTCCACATGGACAGTTGAATAAGGATGGAATTGAACCCAGGTCCCTGGTGCTGTGAGGCAGCAGTGCTAACTGCTGAACCACCATGCTGCCCTATAAAATGTAGAATGAAATATAGAAATTCAAGAAACAGAAGCATATTTTTTGTTCCTACATGAATGGGTACATATGGATAATCATTGAGTTGCTATGGTGAGTAAATAGGTAAATGATGATGGTGTTAAACAGGCACTAAGTTAACATATGGATATCTTGGTCCATGAGGAATAGCAGGGTTTGACAACGGGAGTATTGGAGGAGTTGGGGGTCTGAGTGCTGGAGTTTTGTTCTTCCCTGTTTGGGAAGATACAGTATCCTTTTGGATCTGGTCCAACCACACCTTTGGTGGAGGTAAAGTATCCTTTGGAGAAATAAGGCACTCTTTAGTGGAGGTAGTGAAAAGGCACACTTGTGTACAAAAAATACATAAACCCATTGGGACTAGCAAAGCTGTCAAGAAACTGTCCAGATATGTACAGCCTGATAAAAAAAAAATGTGCTAGCTATTTCAGGTGCCTGATCACATCAAAAAAATTATTGGACTTGTGCTGCATGATTTATTTTCCAAATTGTCATTTTCACACTGGGGTGCCTATATATGAACAGCTCCAAAGGCTTATTGAATGAAAATGTTTGCCGATATAAAAGATTTCACTGCTTTGAAAATGTTTATTTATATCAGGCATTGAGCACTTAGGTGGATGCTTGTTTTCATAAGGAAGTAGACAAAGTGATTTCAAAGCATTGGTTGTTTTGTACCTAAGAGTTTTTTTTTTAGTAGTGACATCATCATCAATAGGCAGCTAACTTTATTTTCTCTCAGGATGCCTCTCAGTTAATCACATATATGATAAATGGGTTGATAGCCTGGGGGAAGGAAAAAGATGGTGGATGCAAATATGAGTTTGGGGCTATTCGGGTCATGGGAATGATTGGGATCATAGTGAAGGGAGAAGGGAGAAGTGCAGAATCCTTTGGATTCTGGGAGGTTGCATGGATTAGCATCAAGAGGACATAGAGAGTGAATGGAATGAGGGGATGAGAGCAGGAGGGAATTTTTATGCCTTAAATTTTATTTTTAAAACTTCGCATGTGTGTGCATGTGTGAATTTTTCCAGTTTTTGGGAAAGCTTCTTGATTGAAATTCATGGCAGACCGTCCATTACTGCCCATGCTGATTTTACTTATGCAATCTTTCACTCTTCATCTCAATACACACCTCCTAGGCACCAGCCTCATACATTTATGTGGCAGGAGATAATGAGGTGCCCGCTGTTGACAGGATTTTGTAATGTTCACATCATTGGCACAACATTTAAACCCCAGCTGCACAGCATTCCAAGAACTGGCTTTCACCCTGTGGTGCTCCAATATTATCCTGGAGGAAGTGGCCCAAAAACGCAAGTGAGCTCCTCACTTTGTGGAGTGGGACCTCAAGGTGATGGTGAACACAGTGGTGAAGAAGACGGCAATCCTGCTTCATGCTGACTGGCAAAGAAGTCCATACCACCACCCTGAGCCAATCAGGACTGAGATAGTGCTCTGGGTCAGCACAGTGTCCTGGGTCAAAAGAAATTCCTTACAGTGCAGGAAGAATGCCAATGACTTTCTGCAATCTGCAAGGGTAAATTTCTGCTAGCTCACATTTACATGGTCACCACTATTCACTCCAAGCCTGTCAGTATACACACCTCTCACCAAGTCTCACGGACTACAATTCTCACATTTGCATGAAGTATGACCAGTCAAAGGCTCTCAACCAACTCTTCCATCCACTAACCCTTCCTGCCCTCTGAATTTGCTACTCACTCACTCGGGACTCCTCACCACCTCAGGCATCATCACCAGCGTCTCTCCCATCCATTTCATCACACTCAACTCTCCTGTTGTCCCATTGCAGGAAAATTTGTCTCATCATCAGGCTGAGACTGTAAAGACAAGCAGGCAGGCTGACATAAGATGTAAGGTTTCACACCCACAGTGAGAAGATTCTAAAACTTGGTAATTGCTCGTGTGGGACTGCAGACATCTTCATGGGTAACGAACTCAGTGATCTTCAGTGCACTGCTCTCCTGTTACCAACAACACTAACTCATTCTTAACCTACACAAAATTTTATCCCTATCACACAAAAAAATCCATTTCCTCTCTTATGCAAGCACTGGCAAACCTCACCAGAAAAAGGTCACTATAGGAGATGTCAGTTCCACCTCCATCTCTGTGAAGGATGCCACTCAATGGATGTATTGGAAAAAAACTTTCAGCTACACTTTGCACCAGCTCAGAAATTTTCACCTCAATGGGCTCTCCTTCTAGATTGGTTTTGGGAATATATTTTGGTAAGTTCATAACTGACAGGCTTCCATAGCTGGTTGAAGAAAAACAATCAGTTCTCCTCATTCAGAACTTGCTGGAGGCCAGACAAAGTCTCCAAGCAGAAGATGCTTACATGGTCTTAGACAGTAATGACTTTGACACAGACAGACACAGGAACAGAAGATAGTTTTGTGAGAAGTCAAGGCAGTCATTAAACTGGATCAAAGGATAAAGGAACAAAAAGGATAAAGGATTATACATCCTCACACCCCCACTTCACTCCACCCCACTCTCTCAGTTCCTCTGTCTCCGTTGTATATGTTCAGATGAGACCAACTTTGAGAAGGGAGCCTCCGAAATGTCTACTTTCTTCCCCAGCTGAGGATTCCCCAGCACCGTTGTCGACAGGATCCTCAATCAG